CCCTTCTGCTTAGCACCTGATAGCTCCTCCCCTTCTGCTTAGCACCTGATAGCTCCTGCCTCTTCTGCTTAGCTCCTGATAGCTCCTCCCCTTCTGCTTAACCACTGATAGCTCCTCCCCTTCAGCTATAGCCTCTGTAGCTCCTGCATGTTTGTAATGCGGCAGTAAACACACGTTGACGGCTGAGTTTATCACTCGGCTCTTACAGTAATTTTCCTGGAGTAAAGATGTTGTTTATGCGGAGGCTGAGCCCCATGTTTTCATACACATTACAGCTTTAAAATCTAAACGGATCCCTGTCAATCTCTTTTTTTTGGGTTTAACTATAATTTCGCCTGTATTTCATCCACAACACAGCTCGGGAGCAAAGGAAGCGTCCTCTGGGTTACATTAGATAACTCATGCTCAAGCTGAAACTAACCTCTCCAAATATACTAAATCCAAAATAAGATATGAAATAAAATGTTCAAATATTTTTGAGGAATGAAGCAAGAGCTGTGTCAGAGCAGAGCTCATAAATATTCATGACCATTCCAAATACGGTCAATAAGAGGCGTTTATGGAGTAATAAATGAGCATGTACAACCATTTCTAAACCACAAACCGACTGTGTAGATCTCGGAGAACAGTTCAGTGTGTGGAGTCACAGCAGTATATGGGATATACAGGATAATGACAGATGATGAAGAGACATGAACCTTTCTGGAAGATCTCCTTCAGCACTCCTCGCTTGATCAGCTCCTCTCGAGTCTGACGCACTGACATCTTCCTCTCCAGAGCTGAACACACACACACACACACACACACACACACACACACACACACACACACACACACACATCATAAACACACTGCGCATAAGCCACAGGCCGGTGTGTGTGTGTTTTGCAGGTATGATAAGCTCACACAGTTTCACCAAATTTAAGTATGTGGGGGACAAATACATCAACTTAATTACACTTCAGGACAGACGAATGCTCGATTCTGATTGGCTGAAAGCTGCTTTGGAAGTCAATGTTAATGCTTTCTTCAGAATATCTGCAGCAGACGGAAGGATCTCCTGCAGAAGCAGTGGAGGGAGCGTGGACGAGTGCACTGAGTGAACTGCCCCTTCAGGAACACACACTGAGGGGCTGGCGAGGGTGTGCTGATGTGTTATTCCCTCAGTGTTTCTCTGTGTGAAACTAGACGCTTGATAAGAAGATGATGCATTATGCAAATGGTGCATTTAAATATACTGGTACTATAAGAGATGATGAGAGGAGAAATGAGGATGACTGATCTCGATATTCTTTGAATGCAGAGGTTTCCTTCATTCCCATCAGTCAGGCATGTCTCCACATCAATCTCAGTGAAGCATGATGAATGAGCAGGTCAGAGGTCATGAGCGTCAGTCGACAGTGTGTTCCGACTCCTGAGGGTGAAGTGAACATGCAGCAGTTCTGTACCTCACCTTCATCATCCTCCTCCTCCTCCTCGAATGTTGACGGTGCATATATTGACACTGAATCACTGACAGAGCATTGTACATTACTGATGTGCTGATCCGGCAGAGTCTGCCAGTGCATTAAACAGCAGAGCGCGCGCGCGCGTGTGTGTGTGTGTGTGTGTGTGTGTGTGTGTGTGTGTGTGTGTGTGTGTGTGTGTGTGTGTGTGTGAGAGACTAAGTGTGTCGCCCTGTCTGTGTTTGTGTGCATCAGTCTGTGTAAATCAGTTTGAGTGTATGTGTATCAGACTGAGTGTGTGTTTGTATCAGTGTGAGTGTGTGTGTGTGTCAGCCTGAGTGTGTTTGTGTGTGTGTGTTTCCCCCACAGTCCAAACACATGTGCTATAGGGGAATTGATGAACTAAATTGAGTGTGTGTGAGAGAGAGTGAATGAGTGTGTATGGGTGTTTCCCAGTACTGGGTTGCAGCTAGAAGGGCATCAGCTGTGCAAAACATTTGCTGGAATAGTTGGCGGTTCATTCCACTGTGGCGACCCCAGATTAATAAAGGGCCTAAGCTGAAGTGTGTGTGTGTGTATCAGTTTGAGTGTGTCTACATTAATGTATATTAGGTGGTGCATCAGTCTGAGTGTGTGAGCTAGACTTCTCCTCTGTGTGTGTGTGTGTGTGTGTGTGTGTGTGTGTGTGCTGACCTGTGGCCCTCAGCTTGAAGTTCTCGCTCTTCTTCTTCCTCCACTTCCAGGGTTTGAAGAGGCGTCCCAGACTGGAGAACCTGCTGCTGCTGCGGTGCTGAGAGAGAGCGGCGGCCAGAGGAGGAGGAGGACAGACGGGCAGCAGAGACACCGGCGGGGGAACCTCCTCCACTGCACACAAACACACACACACACACACACACACACACACACACACACACACACACGGTCAAAATGAGGATCACACCAATAAACACACACAAACACACACACACGCGCACACGCACACAAACACACAGTCAAAATGAGGATCACTCTTACACACACAAACACACCGATATACACACACACACACGACCAGGCTAATGTGACACACACTCACATGTGAGCATGTGCACACGTAGACATACACAAACACAGACATATATACACACTGACACATCTCTCTCTCTTCAATACAAACACACACCTCAGTCTCACACACACACACACACACATTCATACACACACACACACACACTGCACATTGAGTGTTTCTCTGCTTCATCATCAGTGCTGGAGTGTTGGAGCTGCAGTGTGTGTGACGCTGATGCAGATACTGAAGTAGGTCAAACACAGCAGCAGCACGCACACGCACACACACACACACACAATGACACACAATTCAGACACAGAAACACACAAACACACACACACACACACACACACTAGTGCTGGAGGATGTTGGAATAACCTGTCATTGTGTTATGTGCTCGTTTCCTGCGCTGATGTTGTGTGTGTGTGTGTGTGTGTGAGACATCACTGCTCTGTAAACTGCTGGATCCCTCCACCGCACTGAGAGCACAGAACAGAACCGCTCCTTATCCTGATCAGCAGGAGAGTGGCGCTCTGAACAGGACAACTCGTCAAACTCTTCACTCATGCTAACGGTCTAATCTGAATCAATGATCTATGCTAAGCAAAGCTAAGTGTGCTCTGGCAGAGACTGGCTGAATACTCATTCCGAGGCCTCAAGTGATTCTGCAGCGCCATTGATGAGATCCAAGAGAAGATGTCAACCACAGAGGAGTTCTAGAGGTCTCCATAATCCTGGACCAGGCCGTATCCTGAGCCGCTGCTGTGGTGGTGATGGAGGAGTGGAGAGCAGGAGACTGATTCCTGTAAGACCCCAGTGACAGACGAGTCTCCGCATTGATGTTGTGGGCCGGCCTGAACACCAGCCGTGCAGCTTCTCCACGATGGACGTCCAGCGCTCTCCAGCGCCTAGACTGCAGCTCTGCACAGGACGTTCGTCCAGAGGAGAAATGATGGAGCCCAGCTGAGCCAGGTCGCTCTCCAGGTTTGTCTCCTTCTCTTTGGTCAGCTGGTGAGGTTTGTTCCTCCGCTGTCCTGCTTGGTTTGGGTCTTGTGGAGCTGCGCATGCATGATTTGCTCTGCAGTGTTTGGACTCTTCCGCTCTGAACACTGGACTCACACAGGAACACACAGGAACTGAACTGACTGGATCCAGTCGTGCTGATGAACTGCTGAACTAATGCACAGTGTCTGGATTTGATTTTGTAATAATTATTATTAATAATGTTCAGCTTTACTCCCGACTCAACACTGCAGATCAGACTAAACACACACACACAAACACACACACACACACACACACAGATCAGCAGCACGTGTGGACACAGCAGGCCCTCAGCAGATCCTCCATAATCACATTAACACTGGCGTGTGACGCACATTAATCACACAGCAGCTTCATCAGCAGGATTAGAGCGTGTGGTTTAACATGACAACACGTTTGCTGATGCAGGACAGCGGGATCAACAACACAACAACACAACACCAGCACACTACAGGCCATTCACCTGTTCACACTCACATGCAGAATATCCCAAACACAGCAGCAGCACACACAGAATAACACACACCCAGCAGACGAGAAGCACACTGAACTGATGAAGAATCAACCCAGAGCCGCTCTGAGACAGCACGTTCACCCAGCTCCAGCTCAGCGCTGGCTTACAAGCATCTCTAATGACTAAATGATCTATCATTGAGAATAACTGACAGAATATTAATTATAATTATTTATATCACATTCAAATAGGTTTGATTTGTTGGTTAATATCAGGACAACTTTACATTTACATAGATATACATTTGAATCCCTCATGACTCTCTCCCGAGAAATGAATCAATCTGACTCTCTCCGGAGAAATGAATCAGTGACTCTTTCCTCAGAAATGAATCAAACAGACTTCCTCGCAAGGGAATGAATCAAACCAACTCTCTCATAAGAAATGAACCAAAACTGACTCCTTCATGAAACATGAAACTAACCAATTCTCTTCTGCAAAATGGATCAAAACATACTCTCTCATGAGAAAGAAATCAAACCGACTCCCTAGTGAGAAATTAATAAAACCAACTCTCTCATTAGAAAGGAATTAAACAGACTCTCTCGTGAGGAAAGAATCCTCGTGAGGAATGAATCAAACAGACTCTCTCGTGAGGAATGAATCAGACTCCCTCGTGAGGAATGAATCAAACAGACTCTCTCGTGAGGAATGAATCAAACAGACTCTCTCGTGAGGAATGAATCAAACAGACTCTCTCGTGCGGAATGAATCAAACCGACTCTCTCGTGAGGAATGAATCAGACTCCCTCGTGAGGAATGAATCAAACAGACTCTCTCGTGCGGAATGAATCAAACAGACTCTCTCGTGCGGAATGAATCAAACAGACTCCCTCGTGCGGAATGAATCAAACAGACTCCCTCATGAGGAATGAATCAGACAGACTCTCCTGTGCACTGTGTGATTGTCTGTTTGTTGTGCTGTTGCTTCTTCTGATTCAGACTCCGGATAAACCCTTGAGTTAACAGAACCCGTACATCTGTCATTGTGATCCAGCCTGCTTTAGATCTGGTTCAGTGGATGTGTCTGGTTCTGTCGGCTCCACAGCTCAGAGCTTGTTCAATCAGAGCTTCATGATCAGGTCAACACAAATCCAGGCCAAACACACGGCTGTAAATCACCATCCACACAAACAAGACACAACCAGCGCCAGAGTCAGAGCCAAGCCTATTTCAGGAGCCTGTAATGTGCACAGAGTAACTTATATAGGTCAGAAATCTGCTCAAGGAGGAGCAGACCCAGTTTACTGCCACATTAGTCTGCTTTAAACAAACACACTGCATTGTTCCAAGAGGAGACCATATTCATGCTGTAATGTGTTGCAGATGATCACGGATGCAGTATTCCTCTGAGTCTTGTTGTCACAGACGGGGTTAGAAACATCTCAGGAGTTTGGAATGACATGAAGACGAGTAATTTATAACAGAATATTCATTCTCGGGTGAACGAACCCTTTATTGTGTTTGTGTGTGTGTGTGTGTGTGTGTTTGAGCTGAGAATACACACAGATAATGTTCTCCAGCTCTCTGAAACTGACCCTTTCAGGCTCTGATCCTAATCGTGATGTTTTGGTGACTGTCGCTTTAAATGCAAACGAGATTGTGCTCTTTTCAGAAGAGGGTGGAGCTACAGACACCTGTACGTCACCATAGTGACAGATTCAAAGGTAATGGCTAATGGACAGACAGCTGCTTCTCACTCAGGGCTGCTTTTTATGCTAATACGGGGGAGATGGGCACGTACAAAGAGAGAATGCTAGTCAAAGTTGTTGTGTTACCATAGCAACTGTAGAATCACCACAACAGATCAATTACTATAGTTATTGTTACCATAGCAACTGTAGAATCACCACAACAGATCAATTACTATAGTTATTGTTACCATAGCAACTGTAGAATCACCACAACAGATCAATTACTATAGTTATTGTTACCATAGCAACTGTAGAATCACCACAACAGATCAATTACTATAGTTATTGTTACCATAGCAACTGTAGAATCACCACAACAGATCAGTTACTATAGTTATTGTTACCACAGCAACTGTAGAATCACCACAACAGATCAATTACTATAGTTGTTGTTACCATAGCAACTGTAGAATCACCACAACAGATCAGTTACTATAGTTATTGTTACCATAGCAACTGTAGAATCACCACAACAGATCAGTTACTATAGTTATTGTTACCACAGCAACTGTAGAATCACCACAACAGATCAATTACTATAGTTATTGTTACCATAGCAACAGTAGAATCACCACAACAGATTTGGTGAGTAAAAATAAATAAAAATACTATTTAAATGATAACATAAGAAACAGCAGATGGCAGTAGAGCGCGCACTAGCGGAAGTCTCGCACACTCAAAACAAACTGCTGTGTTGTTTTTAAAGAGACAGTTCACCCAAAAATATCACCTCCATCATCGTTTACTCACCCTTTACTGGTCACAAACCTGTTTGACTTTGTTTCTTCACAAAACACAAAAGAAGATATTTGGAGAAATGTAGTAACCCTGCGAGTAACCGCTGACTTCTGTTTGTTTTTCCTTCTATTTGATGTAGAGCTAGTTTTATATGTGCACACTCCTTCAGTGCCCGCTTGTTGCTCACTGTATTGTTTACAGCACTGCTCTGAACACTGGGTCTGAAAGTCTGACCTCAACACAGCATCAGCAGTGTGTCACTGACTGAACAGTGTTGTGCTGTGATGCTCACTGGCTGATAATGTGATTCTCCTATCTTTAAAGACTCTACTAATCTATATAAAGCAGAAAGTCTGACTATATATCTCACTTTACCTCGCTTTCCTACATCTAGAGTCAATGGCTACAGGTTTCTAACATTTTCCAAGTATGTTCTATAGTGTTCTGCAGAAAAAGGAAACTCATACAGCTATGAAAGCACTTGAGTTTGAGTAAACAAGTCAGTTTTCCTTTAATTTAAGATAATTGTGCACACAGATGAAGCCCACACTGATGGAGGAGACCAGGAGAAGCGCATCTGCTCCCTTTACACATGATGCAGGACGCAAAGAGCACACAGAGTGAGCTGAACACGCAGAGCAGCATTCACAACAGAAATCAAGCTCATTATGAAAAACGCAACGCCAGCGCGATGTACGCGACGCACGTGCGTCAGACGCATGCGTAAATCAGGCCAGTGACTGAAAACAGCAAGAACGCGTCCTTGGTGATCAAAAACGCAACGCAGCAGCCAAACTGCACACACACGCACACACACACACACGCACACACACACACACACACACACACACACACACACACACACACACACACACACACACACACACACACACACACACTCCGGACACATGTCAGGATGTTCTCACCGTCCTGCGCGCGGCTGCAGTTGCTGCAGATGTGCTTGATCTCCTTGCCGATGTGGCAGTGGATCATGAAGGGCATGTTGTTGTGATGCTGCGGGTTCTGGTTCTGGTTCTTCTTCTCCTTCCTACAGTTCAGCTTCATCATCCTAGCCAGGCTGAAGCCCTTGTTCTTCGGCTTCTCCATAGGCTTCCCGCTGCTGCTCCACAAGCCGTGCATGAGCGCGTGTTCCGCCGTGGACATGATGAGGATGATGAAGAGGATGATGATGAAGAGTAAGAGGATGGTTCTGACTCTGATCAGCAGTGCACGCGCCGCGCGCTCCTGTCTTCAGCCGGCGGAGATGCGCATTGCGCGCGCTGGTGCTTGCGCCCCTTGTGGAGAAACAGCAGAACTGCAGGAGCGCGGTGGACAGCAATAACGCCACTGCGACGCAGAATGAGCTCAAAATAAACAACTCTTCTTTTTATTTCTGTGCAGGGGTTAATTATTGACCATCAGAGTGGTCGCAGTGTCTGGTTTTGGTTTCATATAAACCCTGATCTCAGTCCAGCAATGTTGTTCAATCATGCTTACAGAGATCACTAGTCTCCATCATCATCATCATCATCATCATCAGATGCACCTGAACTATTATTGCTGAACACTGAAAGAGTCTGGGAAGTTTGGGCTCAGAAAATAAACCACCGTGTGAAAACTGCCTTCTTTGCATGCAATCACACCTGATGATTCGCCACGACAGGTGAATGATCAAACTGCTGCATTACAAATGTGCTGGTTACTGTGATGATGGCCCACGTGTGAGCATCCTACATCAGTATAACTGATGGTAAATACTGTAGTATTATTGAACCATAATATAGAAAAGTGTGTATTTCTACAACTCCAGCGTACTGCAGTATTAACCATCATCCACTCTAATAAACTCGAATAAATACCGCAGTATACTTTAGTTTTTAGTAAACCTTTCACACATAATAACAGTGTAGAGATCATCAAACGTGCAGCATACGAACATACTAGTGCTCATAGAGAGAACGCTTTAAACCATTATCTGTTTTCAAGTGGCTGCGGCCAGCTCATATGCAAAATTACTGTAGTAAATCACAGTAAATACTGTAGTGTTCATGAACCATGCTGTGGTGATTCTACAGTTGCTATGGTAACAACAACTATAGCAATTAATCTGTTGTGGCGATTCTACAGTTGCTATGGTAACAACAACAACTATAGCAATTAATCTGTTGTGGTGATTCTACAGTTGCTATGGTAACAACAACTATAGCAATTAATCTGTTGTGGTGATTCTACAGTTGCTATGGTAACACAATAACTATAGTAACCGATCTGCTGTGGTGATTCTACAGTTGCTATGGTAACAACAACAACTACAACAATTAATCTGTTGTGGTGATTCTACAGTTGCTATGGTAACAACAACAACTATAGCAATTAATCTGTTGTGGTGATTCTACAGTTGCTATGGTAACACAATAACTATAGTAACCGATCTGCTGTGGTGATTCTACAGTTGCTATGGTAACAACAACAACTACAACAATTAATCTGTTGTGGTGATTCTACAGTTGCTATGGTAACAACAACAACAACTATAGCAATTAATCTGTTGTGGCGATTCTACAGTTGCTATGGTAACAACAACAACTATAGCAATTAATCTGTTGTGGTGATTCTACAGTTGCTATGGTAACACAATAACTATAGTAATATCAGCAGATGACCTGTAGTTTTAAAACTATAGTGTATATTACAACACGATGCACCACAGTTTACTGTAGTAAGAAAGAATAACACTAGTGTTTATTGCGGTTAATTATACTGTAGCAATAATCAACAAAGGCATACTATAATATTATGTATACAGGCTATAGTATAACACACTTGAGTACAGTATGCTTCGGAAACATTACAGCGTGTGCTCCAGTATTGGCAGTAAAGGCAGATGTTGCGGTGTTTGATGTGGTTCAGTGGTGCTGCTGTGGACTGTCCTGATCCTCAGTATCTCACAACTCAATTACAGAAAGAGCTTCAGTCAGAGTTACGCAACACAGAGGCAGATTAGCACAGACGGACACGAGCGCTCCGCACAGTTATCTCACAGCCTGCGGAGAAGGGAATTAACTAGTGTCCACTGATGAGGGTGCTTATCATTCATGGTGTGCTGCACGTGTCTCCTGATGTAACCCTCAGCTGCTGTGTGCTGCTGTCTACATAGGGTGCGGACTTACAAGACCCCATGCAGTCATCATCAGACTATGAGAATTTCTTTGCCTGACATGTTTACATGCACTCATGACCAGACACGCCAGAAGAACTCAGACAGGTGTGGAGCAAGTGGAGGACGAGCAAATGATGACTGAGCTCACACTTTGGGGTGAACTGTCCCATTTCTGAACCGTGTGACTGAAATCTGCTGTCTGCTCTATAAAACACTGCGTTTATGTAACTCACTGCTGGGTCAAATATATATATATATATATATATATATATATATATATATATCAAATATACTGTATATTATATATATATAACCCAACTGTGTGTTACTTTTTCAATTAGATTTTAATAACTTTTTTTAACCCAACATTGGGCCTGCAAATTTAGGTTTTGTGAATACTGCAGTATACTTTAGTGTTTACTACAGTAGACTGGGGAACATAGTAGTATAATATACTCTACAGTAACACCCCCTGATATATAGAAAGGGTAATACTTTTATATTAATATAGTTATTGTGTTACCATAGCAACTGTAGAATCACCACAACAGATCAATTACTATAGTTGTTGTGTTACCATAGCAACTGTAGAATCACCACAGCAGATCAATTACTATAGTTGTTGTGTTACCATAGCAACTGTATAACAAATACAACAGATCAGTTACTATAGTACTTGTGTTACCATAGCAACTTTCCCACAGGTACTGTTTACTAACAAGCTGAAAGCGCCCACTACTGGCCTGGCACACATAATACAGCGCTTGTGGCCATTATCACTGACATGTGTTCAGTAAGTCCTCATAAGTGATGCAGTAGGGCTGTCCTGTTTGCTGTAATTTATCTCCTTCAGTGTTATGGGTATTTCACTAATAAACATGTCTGTTTCTGCAAGCCCCTCCTCCCCAAAAGCACACAGAGCTCCTATTGGCCAGCTGAGAAAGTGCTCTGAACCGATGATTCCCATGCACAGATTTTCAAAACAGGTTTCAGCGATTAATTCTCACATCGCTTACTGTCTAACAGTTCGGTCACAATCTAATATAAATATTCCTTTTTCCAATTGCCTGACAAAAAAAGAGCTCATTAGCATACATAAACAAATAACTCAGCAGATTTATTTCATCCACGAAAGCAAATAAATTCCAGAAGGTGAGAATAAACACAGCAGCTTCACACAGAAGGCAGAGCGAGGGCTTAAATGAGCAACCAAACAAGACACAGGTGAACACAATCATGTAACCCATGAGTGACCGCTGAGACAATGTAGAACACAGGAACGAGACACGGCATTAGCATCCGCAAACACAAGTACACCAGAATCCATCCTGCTTTGCAAAGCTCGAACATTTAAAGCGGCAGACGATAAAACTGCAGCACGTTTGCAATAAACAGAACGCTATCATGCATCACTAGAGCACGGCTATTCAATTAGTTTGTCAAATGAGGGGTCGGAGAGATCTGACTTGCGATATGAGTGATGACACAGCAGCATATGCTGTATATTTGCTCCTTAAGACCCCCACGTTGTACTTTTCTACATTAAAATGTAATATTTTTTGTATTCTGAAACTATTTAACATCAGTGGTAAGTGGTAAGTATTTTACGTTTTGTCAGTTTAGTAGCTATTTCGTATTCAGCTGAGTCATGTGACAATGTACGATTTTAAAAAGGAGGCGTGGCACCTAACCCCACCCCTAACCTCAACCGTCATTAGGTGATGAGCAAATCGTACTAAATTGTACAAATAAGATCATGCGCATTTATACAAGCCACTACAGCAAAATGATGCGAATTGCCGTGAGATTGCGTTGGTGCATGTCTCCATTTGAAATAATAAACTTGCGTGCAGAAAAGACGCGATATGTAAACGGCCCGCTGCTATGGTTAATGCAATGTGCGTGCGTACTAGCCTCAGTGGTTAATAGTGAAATCGGCTACTGTCGTTGCATCCCTATAAACGATATCAGTGCATTGTACAAAAGGCCGTTTCTACAAACATATCCAAATGTTTTCGGCTGCTCGCGGCACTCGCCTGATGTCAGGTGGCTCACGCTCTGCGCAGCTTCGTCTGCAGCTCGCGCTGTATTGAACAGACGCACGTCACTTCATAACTATAGCAGCTGTTTTTTGACTGAACTAAATGTATTTTGATGTCTTGGTCGCACTATCTGGAGGGCGGAACAAAGAGTCTTGGGGGGCGGGTTCAACTGAATAGCACTGCTCTAGAGCACAGGTCTCAAACTCAGTTCCTGGAGGGCCGCAGCTCTGCACAGTTTAGTTCCAATAATCAAACACAGCTGAGGAGCTTGAGGAGTTTGAGACCCCTGCTCTAGATGCTAATATGCAGTTCTTTAATATTATGGTCACTGTTTTTCACTCATATGTGCGTTTAGATTCTGTCATGGCAGCTCATTTGTTGTTCTGGAAAAAAGACTCGAAATCCACATTCAACACGGTTTCCATGGCAACAAGCAACAATATCTGATCATCCTGCTGGAAAGCACATTACAGGACTCAAACAGCGCCTTCTTGAAGGAGAAGTGTCTGTTTGAGTGAGTAATGAAGCAGCCTCGTGTCAATGTTTGGAGAATTGTGAAAACCACTCCACAGCGCCACCCAGAGTCTGCAGCAGTAGGAGTTTTTTGGGGTCAAATTTGTTGCATTTACAAAACATCTTCATCATCAGCATATGCTCTTGCTCGCTTGTGTTATTATAACAGCAGCTGTTAGAGTGCACTGGAGCAGGACTGCACACGCATTGATCCGTCCATTACTGATGCTGATCATTTCTCCAGCTCATTACCTCTTATTTGTGGCGTACTTGATGATTGATTTCTCTTTATATGCGCTCTAATGCCTTCATACTGTTTTGTCTGAGGGTGTTGACGTTATTAGGCTTGAGGGCGGGGTCAGCCTGTCAATCAGATGAGATCTACCAATAACTACTATCATCCAATCAAATCCCATTCAACAAAATCAAGCTCCGCCTACATTTTGTTCCTTATTCAGAAGCTTTTTTGACCTTAAATGACAAAAACAACCAGAGAAATATTAGGATTTATACAGTAATGGAATATAGAAGCTTTCCACGGATGCTGTTAGGATTGGAGAATATTGACTGAAACACAAATATGCAAAAGTCTGGAATCTAAGGCTTCAAAAATTAAAAATATTGTGAAAATCACAATTAAAATTTAGATAATTAAAATAAAATAATAATTAATAATATAATATAATATAATATAATAAGAGGCGGCACGGTGGCGCAGTGGTTA